GAAAAAATAGATTTTTCATATGTTTTACTATGTGATCGACAAAAATTACGTAGACTTTTGTCCAGTGAGTGTATTTAGGAATTAATAACATCGCCGCGAATAATATATCAGATATATCGCAGGTACAACATAACAATAACGGAGGAAGAAATGACGTTCATACATAAACACATAATACCAGTTATCTATTATATCGTCTCAATGAAGATTAGTTTCAGTCTCAACATTAATATTTCTCTTTCCACTGATTAGAATTTCGCTAGGAGTATCCGCATTTCGCTTCATGTCTCTATAACTCTACTACTGTACTATGAATTTGACACAAGTTTCCCTCATTGACGAAATAATATTTCAACTTAAACAAAATAACAATAATAATAGATTCACAATAATTCTTGTTGTATTGAACGAGTATCAACTTCTAACAACTATATTAAACCCCCAGTGTTATAAACATCCTATAATCGCAGTCTTTGTAAACTGAATACTTCTCATGCTAATCGCCAAGATGTTACGTCACAAAGCATAACTTGTCTTATTAATCGCGAGAACTTGCACGCAAATACTTCTCACGTCATGATTTTTATAACGAGCTAATTATTCCGCAACATTTTATTAGTAATTAGAGGGGTTTTCGAATAATTCTGAAGTACATAGAAAAAATCGGCTATCAACAACAATAATTAACGCAGCTCTCAATCGAGAGCTTGGAAATGTCGAATATGATGAGAAAAGTCCAATAGACCAGATTATCGATATGGTGAGATGCGTATCCGAGTGTACACCATCCGCCATAAAATTATCTTTTAATTTGTGGCATATATCCACTCCTAAATGATATATATATTTAGAAAGAGAGAGAGAAATTAGTAATTCGTCAAGAATATCAGAAAAATAAAGTATATAAATTACTCGTTTTATTCAAAAAAATGGTGAATTCTAGCGGAAAGTTGAGCGGCCTATATATGTAAACGTGTCTGTTGCATACGTACCATTGTGAATTTTTTGTCCAGCTTATTCGGGAATCCTTGGGAGGTCAATCCAAAGTCAGTTATCTTTGCAATACCTCCTTGAATAAGAATGTTTGTTGAAGACTAATTCCAGTCAATGCATGATGACAATAATATATGACACGTAAAAAAGTCGAATAGTTGGTACATACCAAGTCCTTGTGAACAATTTCAACACTTTTTGCTCTGCAAAAAAACCATCAACCCATCAGTAATCTCCGGGTCTAGCTTGTACTTGTCCTTCCATGTCAGACTCGTAAGCATCTCTGCAGCAAAGTTCCATCATCTGCGTACTCAAAATCCGCATGGTAATGACCAGATAACTCTGTTCATGTCAAAAAGATTCAAGAATAGAACATGTTATAATCAATTATCAGTCAAGCACAAGCATCTATCTGATACGAATAATACCACTTGACGTGCCTTGGCAAGTTCTTAAAAATCGTATAATGTTTGGATGGTCACCCACCAACTTATGAGTTGCCAGCTATTATATGTATATTATAGACGTCAGAATAACTAGCTTAACGTTCTGCAACATTTAATATCAATAGTGATGAGTGGATAACGAACGAATACCTCTTTGACTTTTTCCGGAAACATCGCAACTGATGCTCCGTAATGGGTTTTGTATACAACACCGTATCCACCATGACCGACAAGTGTACAATATAGAATGTCGTCTTCCGAATAATGTTTGGTAAACCGCTCGTAGCTGCTCTTGGGCAGCCACGCTTTGTATGTGTTGTTAGAATGAGACATGTTCAGATAAAGCATCTGCAGCGTGATGAGAGACGAAACTTATTATTATAGCAACAGGAGAACTTGTCGCACAAATTTAGCCACACGGGGTTTGTAATACACTGTTGTAGCTACACGATAATAATAAAGTCGATAATGTAAATAAAATAGTGTCGAACTTTATCAAAGCTAATACCGTCATCGATTAATCAATATCTCTGTGTAAATGCGCTCAAAGCTTTTTGCAAAAAGTAACGTTAAGACTAAAGGTGTATTAGACGATATCTGTTTATTTATTATTGCGCCAAGGACAACGCAGTGTTGAGCGGTTTTTAAATAGATTTACGCCCAGATCAGCGACAACACGCTCAGTTGGTACATAATAATAGAGGTTATAGTTAACAATAAATAACGAAAATCGGCACTATAATAAATAGCTCTAATTCTGAACAAACTATAATGAGGGTAGCTAATTCCATAGTTTGAATAAATGCTTAACACAATAATCGAAGCGAATAATGATAATGTTTATTTAAAGAATGTCTGGCAAAAGGTCCCGTAAAACAGTCTCGGGTGTTAAAGAAGAATTATATAAAATATTCTTAATCGCATTATCTGCGGCAGCAGATTTGGCTTCTTGCTTTCTCCCTGGTGTTGTAGCTTTTCCAGCAATTACGCCGCCTATGATGCATTCGGCCCGCCAAGATGGACAATGTTCATATCCAGTTTTCTCAAATTTGTACTCCACGTCGGATCTTGCAAGCTGGTCTCTCCATTCTTTGAGAGCCGATACCGGATTTTGGCATTTGAGTAATTTGTTTAAAATATCCATTCGCAAATACAGATGACTCTGATCAATTGGTGGTTCTGGGGGCTGAGGGCTAATAACATATCCATTATAGTTGCTCGGACTTTGCCCTCCGTTGGTAAAAGCTTGAGAATTAGGTAGTACTTGCGTGGGTGGAAACAAAGGATTGGATATGCTGGACAGGGTTCTTGGTGGCTCTTTTGCTAAAGCCTTGCATGTCTCACGTAGGAAAGGAAACAGTAGCTTGTCCACGCGGGCTTGTCCGCCTTCACGATGAATGGCTCCAATAATTGCTTCAAATACATCTTCTAGCATTTTGTCAGTAGCTCCTTGGCAGCTTTTACCAATCCGAATATGTTCGTCCAACCGAATTTGTCTGGCAAAAGTTGCCAAACTTTCGGTTCGTTCGACTTTGCTTCGTAGTTGTGTGAGCCTGTCTTCGTTCCAGTCCGCACATATTTCACACAGCAGACTTGTAATCGCCGCCTTGAGGAATGCATCCCCATTGAATTCTAGACGTTGGTTATGAGCTTCGCCGGGATTTTCATAACTATAGGACGGGTGCGTTAACGCTTGAAGGCGTAAGCTGTCGTCTTGAATTCCGAAATATGGAGCCTCCAATGTGTCAAATTTCGCGTCCATTTCGTTTAAAAAAATGTACCGGAATGTGGGTGGTTTTTAAAAAGTATTTTTAACAGGATACCAAAAAATGTAGCAAAGTCTCTGAACCAACGCTATCAATTTATATCTGTCTGTCCCGAATGCTGCGCACGAATATACCATTATGTGATATATTGGGTGGACGATGGCAGAATGTCTTTTTATAAGTTTGGATGCACAATGGACTGCGGCAGCCGCACAATTACATGTTCCGACGTCCGTCCGCAGTAATATTTCGTAGATTATCTACTTCTGGCACGGATTTTCAAGTCCGTCATAATCCCTTTACGTTTAACTCGATGAAAAAAAAAAAGTGTGAATCTGCCGAATCGGAGAATGCCGTCGAACATACGCATTCAAACTAAAGCGGGTTATTTTGCAAGAGTGAAAATTTTTTGATTAATGCATTGCGATCAAATCCATCATAGGATTGTCTACAATGATGAAATTGACGCCAGATGCACAGCAAGAAATTGGTGTTTCGGTAGAACAGCCTGTTGAGACAATGAATGATAATAATAAGCGCAAACAATAGAAGGAGATATGTGCATTGCATGCTTGGCGTTTGCGCTATAATGCCCCGTTAAGAATAATGAATGCAAACAGTAGACGGCAGCCAGCACACGAAACGAGACGATTCAGGATTCAAAAAGATTAATTCATTCGACGCAAACAACGTTACATAAATGAGTTCGCTTTGGCCTATCACTTTGGTGCACAATTATCTTGCAAAATTAAAATAGTTTTTCGTATGGGATTATTTTGCGTTTGCTATTTTGGTGTTTCCCCTACTCAAAAGCTCTGGATATACGGCGAAAGTTTTCTTTCCAATGTGGCAGAGTAGTAGTCGTATGCTTTCCAAAACACACATTCCAGACGATAGGCCATCTTATCGTACTCTCTTGTAGATTTCCTTTCCCCTAGGCACAAAACGCCCGAATGATAGAAAACTATTGAATATGAAGGGAAAACAGCGTTTGTGCGTAATTGTATTTACCGTATTACAAACAAATACACGTGATCAAAGTTTGTCATTTATTTAAAAAAAAAAAACGCATATTATATATCGATTCAACTGAAACCTCAACGATATTTCCGAGAACAATGATCTTCGGTGTGAATCAACTGAAGACAGAATATCAATGAAATAGGTGATAAGAAAAAATTGGGCGAGTAATGATAAATATCCTTTGATAATAATGTCGGCGTGTTTTCCACGACCATTCTCTGAGAAGACAGTTGACCCACACTGAAGATCAAGGTACTCAATAAAGATAGTAAAGATAAACTTAACAAAACTAGACAAAGCCAAAGATCCAAGTGTTTGATCAAGATAACCTAAACAAAAAAAAATAGGAAGGGTGGGGAAGAAATGTTCAAAAAAAAATACAACAAAATAGAAGGAAAAAAAAAACAGCAATACAATAAACAACACAAACACAAACACAGACAAGCACATCAAGCGATATATAAAGTTCTTGTCAAGACAAGTCTATAAAGTCAAAAAATATTAATATTGTCAACCTCATTCAATAAATATCGTTCCTCGCTCATTGTTTACAACAACTCATTTTCATTGCAACATTATTCTGATTCATCAAAAATGCGTCCAACGTAGTCAACGGCATTCCATGTATTCGTGTCTTACTCTCTATAGTCTTCAACGCCTCCATGGCAGCCTCCTTTTTAGCGTCTTTTTTGTTCCTCGCCTTTCCAGAACCCAGACAATGTTCGTTTATGCAAACGTTAACTACAAAGAGGGCGTTGGGTGCTTCAATATCGCGATAGATGGGAATACCGAGCTTGTTCCGCTGAGACCACGTCTGAAGTTTGTTTATCGGATCTTGCAAATCGGATGGAATTCCCCTCCTCGAATGCGAATTTTTGAATTCGCTGCTGAATTCTTTCTTCGAGTGTACGTGAGAGACCGTACCACGAGTTAGTTCCTCGACGGCCGACAAGAGCAATGGCTCCATGAACTTTTGTACGGCATTCATGCTCGACCCGGAATCCAGGTATACAGCACCAACGTAAGCCTCAAAAGCGTCTTCCAGGACCTTTTCGCTTGCTTTTCCACCGTCTCTCAGCGCACCTACACCCAGAAGAAGACCCTCATCCAGTTTTAGCTGCAATGCAAACTTTGCCAGAGACTTTTTGCATACCAAGTTAGCTCTGAGTAAAGTGAGCTGTCCTTCTTTGAGGTCTGGATATCTCGAAAATAAAAAATTTGCAACCACAAAGGAGACGATGGAGTCACCCAAAAATTCGAGGCGTTCATTGTGCGGACCGGTTTTTGGATTTTCGTAATGATACGATTTGTGAGTCAAGGCTTGTTTGCGGAGAGTGTCATTTACGAAAGCATGTTGATGCTGTCGGCCTATGGAAGCTGAGTGGTGTTTGCGCATTTTGGTTGAGGAAGGAGACGAGGGAGTGAGGAG